TTGTAAATAATTCGGCGTTTTCAGGACAGAGTGGTCTCAGTTGCCGAGAGTAACACGCTACACAAAAACAGCTAACTTTTGTTTGTGAAAGCACAATCCAACTGTGCATGAAGTCTGGCATCGAAAGATACCGTCATTTCTAGACGAAGTCTCTTGATGGACGTCGGTGTACTCTTTAAAGTCACCAGCGAGGATACGGACAGAGCATTCAATATTAGGCAGTAAGTCTGGTGGGAAATATTTGAGCTCAATCCATGGTGTAGATGTTTCCGTTAACGATAGGAAGAAATCCATTTAGAAATTTTGGTTTACACACGATTACATGACAGCTAATTTTTGGTATTATCTATGTAGGGAACAAGGTAGCCGAATTACGCCATGATTGATTGACATGTTATAACGCCTTCGCGAGTATGTGGCTTTCCAGGGCGGCCAGACCTTACGACGCGGTACCCACCGAGTTGAATAATCTCATCATCCGCATCAGGATGTGACCAACTTTCTTGTAGCATTATAATACCTGTGTTTGCGTGTTTCTTACGCTGCATAGTGGCACTGAGGTCGACAACTTTATCAAGTAAAAAGCGCGCATTGCTGGAGGGAATAAGCGGAATTAGCACATTGTTTATATGACAGGGTTTGAGTTTAGCTTGCCAATCAGCACGGCACTTTCTTCTTTTTCCGAAGTATTTTAATTTGTTTGACTGTGTTTCTGTCATTGTGACTGCATGTGACATAAGACGTGTTTCGTGCAGCGTCCCGGAACAGTCTCAAATAATCGACAGTAATATAACCTTGATGACCTCACAATTATTCAGATAAACCAGTTGTGAGAACAGGACGTAACGACGGATAAAAATGGTACCCCAAAGAGAAACAGCAACGGTCAATTTGAAGGCCTCACCGAAGTTATCCCAGATATCGGTCCTGCAGCCTGTCAGAATTCCCTGCGTACCAAACTTCATCTTCTCGCCCTTAGAACATTGAACTTCTGTAAGACCTGTGAAACTGTGAACTTCTGTAAGCTTGGACGTTATGCACGATGCGCGAGCTTCTGCTTTCGGTACTATCAGTCGTCACCATACTAGTTACTGAAAATCCGGGAGATCGATGGACGTGTTGCAATCGAGGAGAAAATTTCTTGTTGGTTCTGAGCACTGTGTACCCAGGCGAGCTATTCTGTACGAACTAAAGTGGAGCACGCGTGCTGATAAGGAAGCCTGTCGGACCAGTAGGGCTCTGGAAATAGAGTAAGCGAGAGCAGTATACAATTTACGCATTCTTCTAGCTGATCCGCACCAGTGGTCCCAGGAAACTAAGCGTCAGTGAGACAATCATAGACAGTACGGGTGCCTTATTTCGCAATAAAAAGCGATGTATGGCTGATTGCTAAATTACTTTCGGGAGCAGTTCTGTTGGTCCCTCTCTCCTGGGTGCTGCCAGCTGACCCATAGCCGGTTAGTTTAATGGCTTCATCGGAGTGTGAGATCCGAAACATGATGGCGGCCTGTCACATGAATACGTCTGAATCCAATCACACAACCAGTGTTTCGAAATGATACTCCAATCACTCATTAACTGGTGTGCCAAGCGTTGCCCTTCGGGACCCGGTCGCTTACAGGTAGCGGTCAAAACCAACATCCCCATGGTCCCGGGTTCGATGCCTGCTACCTCCATCTGATGAGATCAAATGATATCGGAACGCGTCCTATGAGTGCAGTGTTTTCGGGCGGGTAACACCCAATTTCTGTCTGCTTCAGCTACGGTCCCCGTGATCGAAAGACCAAGGTTCATCGAAATTGCATGTCGCAATCCATCCACACAAGGTGTGATTCAAAATGACCCTCAAAATCAATCATTAACCGTTGTGTTAAGCGTTGCTCATTGTGACCCTGTTACTTTGGGGTAGCGCTCACAACTAACATCCCGATGGTTCTGCGTTCCATGCCTGCTATCTCTAGCTGACGAGATCAAACAACCTCGGAACGCGTCCTAGGAGTGCATTGTTTTCGGATGGGCGATACCTAATCGCCCTTATCACTTAGATGAAAGTCCAATAATTTTTCGAATGTCACAATGTTTGGTACATTCTCTGCATGTGCTGGCAATGCATTCCAGTGTGAACAGATTCTAAAAGAGTTGAGAAGCGTTCTAGAATCCAAACGGGAGTGCTGAGTTGCCCACCATTCATCATTATGCACCTCAGCTAGAGATGGAAAACACCTCAGCTACTGTGCTACAATACACAAGAAAAGAAAAATAACATACAACAACTTCCTGCCAGCTGAGCTAACAGTAACGGATGGGCATCATTTCGGAAAGCTCTCAGCTGGCTACTATGCGGCAAAAAGTTTATAATGCAAATTTTTTCTTTGGGTGACCCTGTGTTCTGCTGATGACACAGACGCCATTCTGCCGTCGTCGAGTCGGCAACGTAACTCATCACATGAGGTTCGTAAATTTTCGGACATCTCTTAGGAAGCACTTCCAAAAGAGAACAGTAACCGAGATGAAATTCAAAACATCTGACTGCAAGCGGGTAATCATTATTCGCAGTTCTTGAACTTCTAACGTCCTCTTATGATTTAAAGACACGACCGACATTATTGGTGCTAAATACGCGGAACCCTTTCCCCATATTGTCATTGCTGAACGGTTGATGAAAGCTCCCATGTCATCCAGATACAAAGGGTGCGGTCTCGGGCAGATAAAAGTGCTACTACAGTCTGTGCTGATGGCACCGGCCGTCTTGGATAATTGAGAGAAACTCCACAAGACGCTATTGACAGAAAATTTGTTAAAGAAGCGAAGTATATGGACACAGTTGGCTGGCGATTAACTGGATGCCACCAGTTCAGTTTCTCTTCGCCTTATGAAGCTCTGCGAAGGAATTGACCTAGTAGCAACCGCAACGTCCCATAGGAGCTGTCGCAATGCGGGTGACCATCAGGGCTAGGAGAGCAACGTGCAGCCTTGCAACTCTACCGATTCACTAAGGCTTATGGTACCCCTCAGCAGTCCACACAAACCCAAACCTAGACTGATCATCAACCAGCTCACTTGGCCACCTTTTGAAACAGGCGGATAGTAATAACTTAAGAATTAGGTCAACACTACAGTCATTTAAATTGTCGATCAACTTACTTCCCCTTCCGGATCTGTTAGCTCTGGAGAGCTCTTCCAAACTCAGTTGTTTGTGCCGCAACTTTAGCCATATTCAAAGAAGACGTTTGGATATCGCACTTAGCTCCTTATCCTTTGTCACATGAACGGAGGAATGAGATCCGCTTAACTAGGTTCTTTGAAATTATACTCTGCACCGATGCGTATACATTGAGGCAGACGGGCGAGCCATCCGATTGTTCTTCACGAAAGACGTTATCTATGGTAACATGTTTACGCTGTTCTGTGTTTTACTATCCGATTTCAACAATCTTATTTTGCAGCTCGTATATAATGCCCATAGACGAGACAGTCTAAATAAGAACTCAAGGTTACGAAGAGATCACTTTTCAGTACTTCTTATCTGGCAAATACAGTTATAGGAATGCAAAATCAATGCAACGCAGTAAGCCAGTGAAGGGCGGATTGAGAATAGATGACTTGGGTTCTTTTTAGTGATACTGCGACATTCGATCGATAGTCTTGTCGATCAACTGAAGACGGGTGTTACAGCTGCCGATGGCGCGAAGATCGCACTTGGCCGGCGCCATTGTCCGACCCTGAAAAATTAGCGCTTGGTCATGTCAAGAAAAGCGCTTGCACAAGAGCCCTTTGTTTGCTCAACTCCGGCTGCATCATTCTGATGGCAATAACCGTCCCCATGAGGCGTTTTCTAAGCATTTTGGGTACATGTTGGGCTTTGAATGCGATGGCTGGTAGAATTTCCTGTCCGCTTTGAAACAATTGCTCCATGCTGTCACTGTTAAATCCTCCGACCATGCTAATTCTTAACGACTCCGAGCAGCGCTAAGCGATCCGTTTTGACAGACGCCTGGCCGTATGTCCAATGTACCTTGAACCATAGCTGCAAGTGAATTGGTATGGAATATACGACTTAGACTTGACCTTGAGTCTGTCTTTAAGGCCTTGGGTGATAAGCGGTGCAGTCTGTGCCACAGCATGTGGTTAGGCTACTGGTTAGAATTTGGCTACTTCAGTCGAGAGTCTTCTGTTCAGCAAATTGAAGGCGGCGCGGTGAGAAAGACATCCTTTTTAGGAACAGTGATGTCAGTTCTCGGGTGCATACAGACAGCGGCGTGCTTGATGATGAACGGAATTGGGTAACCATTCTGTTTTGCAGCGTTGCAATGATGCGACCATTTTTATTATGGCACTACCCTGCTGTTTTTATTTTTCGCATGCATAATCCTGAATTTTTCGCTTCTCTCCCTATCTAACCTACTGGATCTGTTAAGAAAATGCTTTGTATCCGTCATTATTCCTTTGTTCCAAGGGTTGGAAACACGCACACATTGGTTGTGCTTGAGGTTATCCTTTTCCTGAGAACGAACAACACGCTACATTCTTTTGAATCACAGGCAATCAGATGTGGTGCTGTGACTTCCGTGTTTCTATCCTGCATCGCTGCAAGCCATAGTGCATCGTGATAGATAAAGCGCAATCCACACTTTAACTGGTGTTAGTTCCCACGAGTGCAAATGCGTTCCTGAAATGGGGTACTATTCTAAGCAGGTGTTCAGTGTATGTATCACCTTATGGATAAGTACACTGGTTGAGCGCCGTAGGAAGCATCTGAGCACTGAACAAATAAAACTATCCGCTGATTCACAAATTGGGCGCGGGTGAACGCATTGAACAGTCTGTCGCTTACTTAAGTAAGTTGGGATCGGAAGTTATATCAATCGGTTCCTTTTGAATGTGTGCTTTTTACTTTGGCCACTTTACACATGAACACAAAAACCTATTGCATTTATCCCCGAATTGAATGCTACAGTAACATCTTAAACGTCGATTCCACGTTTGCTGCCGCCTCGCAGGTGCACCGCGGAGTGAAGGGACAAATATTTGGCTATGATAATAATGAAGTGATCCCGCTCGAGAACGCCAAAGTCGTGGTTTTCAATTATACACAACCGGACAATCCGTTCATGATTGAACACAATATTTGGTCAGGTGAGCTGTGTTGACTTTACTTGAGGTTTATGGAATGTGATTTATCGTCGGCATTCGAGAAGAACTAAACTCCACCCAAATCGCTGTCCAAACTTATGAATCAATATAAATGGCTTCAGGGCTAACACGTTGTAAGCACTGAATAGAGCAAACCTGTAGATCGGAAAACACACCAAAAATTATTTGGATCGGGCTGCTTTAAGCGGCCGTTGTATAATAAGGATGATGTTAATCTTTATAAGTAGACTAGGCGTCAACTAAAAATTTATCAAAAGGCCCCCACAATATCCGTGAGGTTGCATATGTTGTCGTTGTGAAAGTCATTTCGAGCATTCGTGTTGCAGTGGTGCAGAAATATTGCTAGATCAAAGGGCGAGGTAACTTGTATGGGTGTTGATCGCAGTCACTTCCAAATCGGATAGACAATCAGCCATCTGATATTACGGTAGAGCTCCACAGTGTACAGGTGAGTGGTGCGAGAATCAACTGGCTTGACTGGCAGTTGTATAATACAAAGAATAAAAATATGAACCTCATGTTTGCGTGCATCTCAATAACTATTTGCTTTGCCGACGTAGAAAAACCCACCTAGCTCAGAAACTGGGTGAAACCGAAATAAACAATGAATTCGCTGTACTTACGAACACTTGTAATGACTTAAAAGATAGGAAAGGTTATAGACTCATCGGACATCGCGAAGTCGGAGGAGTGCGGTGAAATTCAGTAATACTTGACACATTAAATATTGTTGAAACGAACCGCGGAATAATAAAATGTTCAGAATGGCGACTTTTTGGGGAGATCTCCCTTTATATCTTACGTTATTGAACAAGCTCGTTTTCAGTGGCTCGTCATCGTTGCTACTAAAACAAGAATGAATGACCTGGATCCTGAGCAACAGATATGAGTACTGGTTTAATGCTATAGGTGGTCTGTGCGATCGAAATAGAGGAGTGGTCCCCAACCGACCAAGGGTGTGTGCAGCGGTATCTACACGAAACGTCAGCGTTACAGGGGACTATGCAGTCTCCATTTAACAGCAGAGCTAGATCTACCAAATATTAACCCTTTAAATGGCATTGTGAATCTTTTTAACCGATTCTTGCCAAGTCTTGCTGAAATTATGACGTCCATCTGGAGGCTGTCTTAGGTATGAACTGGAGTTGCGGAAAAGAGAAGGAGGCCGCCTTTAGTGCCACCAGGCATCCCATCATCTGTGCACAAGTGCTCGGCTACCACGAGCTGCCTCTGGTTTTGGAGTTGCAGTGTGATAGCAGTCAGTGCGGCGTAGCCGCTGTTCCCATGGCTAACTTTTCGATTTTCGCAGTCGCGCGCTCGCAGTGACGGAACAGCATTATACACAGATCGAAAAGAAGATGCTCACCGTTGTTTATACGATAGGGCGATTCAACGAGTATGCCTTTGAGAGGAAGACTATCGTGTTTGCTAACCATAAACCGCTTCTGTCAACAGATAGTAAACAGTTACACTGTATCCTTCGGCGTCTTCAACGTGTGCTTACCTGGCTCAAAAATCCCAGCATGAATTTTGCGTACTCCCCGGATGCGCAGATGTTCATCGTGGACGCTGTGTCGGAAGCTCATCTCTTGCTACTCGAACACAAGCAGAAGGAAATCGACGCAGTAAATCTAATGCAACCTCTTGTGGTTCCATCAGACTGCCTGGAAGAAGTAAGATGCCGTTTGCAGACGCGGCATGTGAGGCGTTGCAAGACGTGATTGTGAGAAAACGGCCAGATAGAAAGACAAACTCCTAAGTGAATTACGCCATTCCACAATATTTGGGACAAACCCAGAGTGTATGACGGTTTGCTGTTTACAGGAAATTGCATTTTGACCCCGCAATCCCTCCACATAGAGATGTTGGAACACCGTCATCGAGCCTACTTGGATGTTTACTGCAGGCTAAGCAAAGCACGAGCTCTGCTATCCTGGTCTGGAATGACCAGACAAATACGGTATCAATTGTTAATTTGTTCAGCCTGCAAGTTTCACCAAGATCACCAAGTGAGGGAACCAATGACGCTGCGTGCGGTTCAAGATCTACCACAACGGGAAAAACTATTTGATCACACTTGACTACTATAGTGACTACTTCGAGATCGATCCGATCACCGATACTACCATGGAAGCAGTCATCAATAAGGTTAGATATCAGTTCGCTTAACACGGAATACCTGAGGGACTAGTCTCCGACAAGCACCCACAGAGTACGAGTGTTACCTTCCAGACTTTTGCAAAGAGTGGGCATTTTCTCATCGACAAACCAGCCCGTATCACAACCAGTCTAACGGAAAAACAGTTTGCAGTAAAACAAGACAAGAGGCTATTATCGAAGGTTAAAGCAACGCATGAGGACTCGTATCGGATGTTGTGAGAGATTCGCAACACGCCATCATCGAACATCGGTCTCAGTCTAATGCAACGTCTGTACATCAGAAGGACAAGAAACCTAATGCCTGCGTCGGCGAAACTTTTACACCCTGCATCGCCGTCTCATGAGCAGCTGCAAAGGAATTTAACAGAACGGATGGCCGATCAAAGACGGTATTGCAACCGCGGTACCCGGGCGCTACCAGTTATTAGTAGGGCGAGAAATGTGGATTTAACAAACGCAGGGTGTCCACGAGTGATAGAAGAAGGGTGTAGTAACCACGAAGGTCGGAGAAAAATCTCATGAAGTGGAACATGCAGGACAGATAATTGAAACAGATTGCAGCTGGCACCATACCTGGAACCATAAAGTGAACCTGAAGCAAGGCAAATGATGACTTACGCTGTTACACTGCCAGAAGCAGCAAGGACCACGCGAAACTGTGGAGCGTAAAATGTTCTCAGCGACAGATATGAGGTTGAATACGAAAATGGGAAGGTTATGATGGATTTACACGACAAGGCAAGCGGCTGCATCGCCGCAAGCGAACGGAGCGGATGACTGGACACTTGCGCATCCCCGCCTCTACGTTGTTGGGTTGATATTTGGCTGCGCTGAAGTGATTTTCTCTGACTGAAGCAATGAAGGAATCTCATGTGTGCAAGATCGTGGTGCAACCGATCTAGTTATATACATCGAGGCTTCTACAGGCTAGTTATGCTTTCAGTTTCACTTAGCTTGCTTTGTCGAATAAACCGTTTGTCCCCGGAGAACCGAGTTGTGCGCAGTGTTCAGACGCTAAAACCGATGATGACGTAGGCATAAACGCGTGAGAATACACATTATAAAACTGCACTTCCGATTCTTGCTGGCTTGTATTATATTTCGGGTACACAATTACTTTAGACCATGCGAAGTATCTCTAGCAGTGTCTTATCCAAATGTAAGGAGGAACGATTGAGAACACTCCTCTCCTAGTCGGATGGAAGCAAAGTATTCGCTTAAGTCGCATTGAGGCTAGTCATCACTTGGTTTGTGACTGTTCGCTGAACAAAAGCCACCAGTCGTGTGTGTTCCTGCGCATCCGAATGAACCACGATGGTAGAGCAAAGGCGCATCTTACGCTCCTATTCATCGGGTCTCGAGTCAACTGTACGCTAGTACGCCTCCTCAGTTTTACTTGGGATAATCCAGTTTCATCTGAGTATTTTGCAAGTGTGCTTCGGATATTCAGAACAGGAAGCACACTCATCAATGAAATTGACTGTCATATTCACTACTGCAAGTTTTCCTTAGAAGCTATCGGCATTTCGTACGACTTACTGAGACAGCTACCTCTGATGTGCACGAGTAACAGTTCAATCTATAGGCAGAAGGACGGAGTTGCTGTGAGCTTAATTCTAGGACCGTTACTAACAGCTGTGCTTATGAGTAAATTAGAGAACGACTACTTGCACGAAGTTATTAATAATTATGTGGACTACATGCGATACGTAAGCGATATATTTTGCATCGTTGATAGTCATCTGTATACGGGAGAACTAGTGACGCAGTTTAATTCGATCCGTGGTAACACAAAATTCACCCTGCAATCTGAGTGTAAGAATACCACGTCGTTCGGACGCTCAAATTAGCCGGAGATCGGACGGGTCGGTCAAACAGAGCGTTCATGGAAAGGTAACGTGATGGAGGTGATATATTCATTTTTGCCAGCAAGTGAGATATTTAGCTAGGATGCGCACGCGGACGAGGTAAACTCCGCATAAAGCCTATTCAAATGTAAACACTATCTGGATACGTTCGTTTGGAGAGGTATAAAGCTCGTGAAGCAAATAGCAAGCTTAGTTTAGCGGAAAAGAGGCAGTCTATCTATCGTTGCTATTAAATGGAGACTGCATAGCGGAATCAACACCTAGAAGGCTTCCTGAGGCAACTTCTCAAACATACTACGCCGCAAACCTAACTTTAAGCATCCTATTCAGTGTTAATGCTGAATCAGCAACTTAAAGACAGGATTCCACAGAGAATTATTTTTTTCTGTGTCTAACCTTACTCTTGTTCGTGTCGATCGAGATGTTCGGAAGAGCCACCAGGAGACTCCGAGAGTGTTGCATCACTGTCAAGCTTGGGTGTACAGCGGAGTGGCTAGAACAGTGACAAGTGGCGTGTCAGCACGGTTGGTTGACTCGAACCACCAGCTCAGAGCGCACGAGACGACCATCCCATCTACCGCGTACCTAGACGCAACACACGAGCAGTTATATCTCGTCTACTTGCAGTAGCCGAAGCGATCGCCACTCCGCTTCATGACTGCTCTATGCGCTAAAGTTATTCGTCAAGGCACTCAGTCTACTCAGGCCCCCTGTAACGCTGACGTGTCGTGTAGATATCGCCTCACACACCCTTGGTCGCTTGGGGACCAATCCTCTATTTAGATCGCACCGACCACCTGTCATTAAACTAGCACTCATATCTGTTGTTCAGGACCCAGGTCATTCATTCTTGTTTTCTTAGAAGTGATGACGCGACGCTTAAGACCTGTTGGTTTGCTTGCTGTTGTATACGCCTGAGATATTTTATCAGTTTTGCTTATAATCCGAAATAAATTGCTTTTTCTGCAACATCTGGGCAGAATTTTTATACATAAATATATATTACACTACATATCTTGAGAGAAATGGAGCTTACAATAGAAATTGCTGAGTATTATTTTTTCACTGTTTCACTTAATATAGGATAACAAGATTTCACTAAAAGGAACTCCTGTTTGGGTTCCGTGATTTTTCTCCTTACTGGTATTTCACCGTACCGGCACATAGTCGGCAGGTTTACGTCAGGGAATCAACAACCCCTTGGCTTTTTACAGGCTAAATATGTACTTTTTCCTTTCATTGGATATGTTTCCATACTGAGTATGGAGAATTCGCTGTTACAAGCGAGTTGTCGGTGTGAGAGACGGTTGCTGAGAAGGATTTGGGATTATCACGAATAATATTACACTACGGTTCCATAGGATTTTTTCTTTCCTGTTACCAAACCGTATAAGAATTCTAATGTAGGTATACCGACGAACTGATGTTCTGCATGGACAGAGGGCTGTCACTTTGATCAGGGAAGCAAACTGATTTCAAAGAGTCTAAATGACTTTCTTATTACAACCTGTAATCAATCTGTCGTTGGTCGTTTAGCGCACGAGCAGGTATGTTCGAATGGTAAAGTACGTGTCCTAGCAAGTGACAAAGGACGAACACTTTAATCCAAACAGAATTCGGATGGTTCATGTGAGATGAATTCATGGGCTGGTTATCTTTTTTGAGTTTTTTTTAGCTGTAGGTATTCAGATATGTGCCGTGCTGTGACATGCTCAAGACCAATGTACTGAGCCCTTCCTATTCCTTGCCTGCATCTGCTGGCGTGTGTCAGTAACCCGCTCACCCACTCATCGATTGGCGTAATTTGGAATAGTGGATCAATGCATTATACACCCTGCTGGTTAGACTACAGTTTTGCCTTCCGTTTGCCTGACGTGTTTTGCTTTGCGACATTTCAGCTAAGAGTCAGCCACTGAGCGTTAGTTCCGCCATTGCTAAACCCTGACCGATGCGAAACGACAGACTGCGAACATTCTGCTCATCTCACCGAAGCCTCTACGTTAGCAAAGCGATCGCATGATCAACCCCATGGACTTCCTAGAGAAGCCGGTTGAACCGAAGGCGGATAAAAGGATGCACGCGTGGGTGTGCTATGCTCAAAGAGTGGTTCCATCCAGTGTAGAGCGAACTACTGCCTAGACGCTCCCTTGTGTACGTCTGGGACGCATGATCCCCAACATAAATACACATGAATGCTGCTGCTGTGTATGTTGTGTGTGGGCCGGCTCCGTTGATGAAACCTGGTTCCCATCCGCATGCCTCCAGGTTTGCACTGGATATGGTTGTAGCTATGGGTGGTGCAGCGCGAGCCACTCATGGTTCCTCTGTATGTGCAGGCGTCCTGTGGTTGTCCCTGTGGAGGACACAGTGACAGGCAAATCCGGAACCTGATGCTGCCAAATAGCTTGCAAACCACCCATGGTCCCTCTGTATGTGCAGGCGTCCTGTGGCTGTCCCTGTGGAGGACACAGTGACAGGCAAATCCGGACACGGATGCCGCAAATTCATATACCTTGCAACACCATAATCACCAAACCAGATGCAGAGTCAAAAATGGATTTTTATCTTTTAATCTAATCAGCCTATTTAAAGTTGTAGCCGATATGAGTCACCCATGTCAGTTCGTAGTGACACGTGAACTTCTGACCAGTTTAAGGTTAATGTGTGAAGCGAAAGCGGGACCCGCGATTTACTAGCGGAATGTTCTACTATGCCTTGGATAAGGAAATGTTATCCGCGCAAATGAGAACGCATCAAGGGACTTACAGGGGTACCATCCTGAGTCGATGTTCTTCGTTCACAAAAACGAGAACGGCACACTAACGCAAACCTTTGTGAAAATAGGACTTCTGCACCAACTCGCTGATGTGGATTCTATCTATCGTCCATTGTGACTAATGTAAGGCCTTCTCATGCTCGTCGTCGCTAGAGATTCAAAATGGCAACATACTGGAGGGCATGGGGGATACATACATTCTGTACATTTCGATGACGACCACCTAAACAGTGAACCTTGGTGACAGCCTCAGAGAATACCTGTCCACTTCTGCTTGAATTATTCCATATACCCCTGAATACACAGTTATCAAAGGGACCAAAACGTATGTGACCCCAAGAAAGGGTTCAGTTAACAATTCACTGGTATACTACACTCCATCGTCAACAACGAAAACATGGCTTGATCGGCAGGATCAGAATTAGAAAGCGACTAAACTACCTATGAAATTAGGTCTGTAGCTCTACAATCCTGCCACAGTCCCGGCACCCGAGGCCTGGGGCTCAGTTGCTAAGGTGTCTGAATTGCAACCGACGAGTACTGGGTTCGAACCCCAGCTGCTACCGGTGCGTGAGAGTCTTTTCGACGTCTTGGTCCGCGCACAACCGTATGTGATTACATCTTAGCTCTAGATAAGTCCAGGATAAACAGTAATTCAATGTAGTATTCTGTTGAATTAGTTTTGTGCATAACTCGAAGCTGTTGTAATCCTTTTTATGAACAGTTCCATAAAAGGGGATTTTTAAACTTAGAATAACCCCGTAGATAGCTACATGGACTTGGTCTCATTATTTTGGTAGTATTACTGAAGCACAAACTGTGATCAAGGTTCAGGCTCAATTCCCGAAGAAAATCCAAGTGGTAGCGACAAACACATTCTTAACAGGCTAGTATATGTAACCTTAGGGTCTGCTATAAATTAGGTAAGGTATCGAGCTTCAAAGAGCGCCATTAGCAGGGAAGTGTAAACATGGACTAAACCCTGGGTAATTATTTATCATGGAACAACAACTAGCTTTCATTTTGATTGCAATAGCCCTGCACATGATTGGACTTCCTGGAAATCGACAAATGAAGGCTGCACCGGTTTCCTCATGCTTAGGCACTATCAGTTGGCCAACAGAAGCTATGTAATGCACTAGATGTCCGTTTCACCAATTCGAGGCTCACCGGCTATGCAGTTCATCCATCTGAACTTTGGCTGTGCTTATTTGAGCCTCACGGGAATCGTCAGCAGTGCACATTCCATTTGACCCTGTAGGGCTCGAACCTGCGACTCGATTGTTGCCAGTCTGTGATTGAGAGCACTGATGATCTACGGGGACACCAGCAACCGTTGTAACTAGGTTACTAGATGTGAAATAGCGCCGCTTGGTAAGGGGGTTTACCCTGTCCTCTTTACGGCAGTAATGTGCCGATCAGTGGATAGTGAGCCGCGCTTCATCACATCTGCTAATTTAGTTACTATGGTCTTTACCGTCTCCCGTAGTTCAGTGGTTTCAACCACGGATTGGCAACAGTCGGGTTACGGGTTCGAGCCCCACAAAGAGCAAATGGACTGCGCATTGCTGGCGACTCGCTAAAGGATAACATGGTTTTACACTGCTTTTACGGGCGTAAGATGGCTATCTAGCTGAGTCTAGACGTGGTAAATTTGCACTTCTGCCATTCAAGTCTCCCTACTACTCCTTGCTACTTTCGACGTAACATTAAATATGTATTCAAAAAATACGATTAGTTAACTTAACTATAAAAAAAACTTCAAACTTATTTTTACCAATGGAATAGCTTAAGACTTATGTTTATGGTCGCTTTCGCACAATTTTTTTGATCCTTATAAGATGAAGTAGGCATTTTCCATAATAAGGCAAATCAGGTGTTGAGCACAAGGAACTGCAACAATTTGCGCAAAGTTGGCCAATGAAGTCGGTGTGCCAAATATGTTTCTTTTTGTAGGAAAAGATGGTGATTACTATCGACTTCTCAATCGAGGTATCTTCCGAATAAGGTATGAAGCACCGGGATACGATGCTGCAACTACGTGTGTTCGTATAGACACGACACCCAAAGTGGATGAGCAACTTTCACCTGCGCAAGTGTTGAATGTTCTTCTAGTCAAATCTGGTCAAAGTATTACTTCGGACGCTGTCTTTATCAAGCTCCCGAAGATCGACACTGTCTCTGGGATTACCACACGATGTGATGTGTGGGAAGGCGCTGAACAACAGGTATTTTAATGAATTTTGGTAGGACTAATATGTGCACTTACCCACACAAGTTATAACCAATGGTCACATGAGATACCACAGGCTTTTCATATCAATGCTGTTGCGAGTATAGCAACATTTTGTTAAAGAATTTCATGCAAATTGCATTAAGGCAATATACTGGGAGCATGCACTGGTTAATTGCTGCGTTGAAAAACATGTCCGTGGTCTACGAATCGAGATGATTCCTTCGATTAGCTTCGCCAGTTAAACCTATTCTTCACGGAAGTCCAGAGACAAATCACTAATTACTTACCTTGGTTGACGACTTCTTGTGTAAAAGGCACAATGCTTAACAAATATATCAATCGTTTATTTTCGCAGCCTTCCGAAGTCATGAATAATTCATCGGTTTAACTAATTGTACAATGTATCGATTGGCTACAACGTTTCTTGTATGCGGTTTCGAAATTCCCACGTCATGGAAAACGGTTAAAGTCTGACTTGCCTTGGATAACAGCGCCGAATGATTGTGATTTCAAATCTTAGCACTGACCGAAACTACTAGCGATGGATATACTAAGTCCTAGGGAGCACTCGGTTGACCTTGTGAGAGAAGCATTGGAACTAGCTTCGGCATTATGAGGGATGGATGACGAACATGTGAAAATAACAGCCAACCTTTTGTGGAGCTGATTAGTAAACATGTATGCACCACGCCGCAATGTCAAATATACCACACGGTTTAAAAACGTTTATACCGTAGATTAGCGAATATAAGCCGATGATTTTTGAACAATTTTTCGTTTCTGTAGGTGTCAACTTACGGCAAGGCTATACGGAATTTGAAAAATACTCGCATGCAAAATCCTTTCCGGAGTTCCCTGTCCACCACTGCCTTTATCTCCCCTTAGCACCACCCGCTAGTGACGGACGGTATTCTAGACGGGGATTTGAAGTGCTTATAACTGGACACGTTACTTTTGAGTCGAAAATTCTCGGTGTATTGCACATTTGACGTCCGCGACAGATGCTGTAGCAAACCAAAAGTCCTTAAATATTATGTTATGCCAGGCGATCCGGTGCCTTAAATGTACAACCTCGTCCCACACCCCTGCCCGTGAACTTCGCTCTCACCCAATGCATGAGGTCGCCGACTATGCGAGGCGGCCTGTCTGACATTCTCTCACCTTACCCTATATTGTCGACTGTCTTACCTGTTTTATGTGACTTGACGTCTGGTCAATACACTGCCCGGTGTGGTGAAAGTCTTCTGACGGCCCCACACCCCATTAACCGCGATTAAAACAGATTACGGTCGCCACAACTGACGAATAATAGAGCAGATTTCACCTGAACTCGCACGAATGTGAGCAGGTAGTGATGACGTTAAAATCGTGGGGAAACAATTTCGTTTCTCTTTTGCTGATTTTTTAGGGGTCGGCTAATACAGGGACTTACGACTTTGGACAAATTTGATGTTGCAAAGTTATACTGTCGGCTTATCTATGGACGGGCTTATATTCAGTAATGTACGGTATTTACTGCGAGCAGTGAGCGTATTTGGTGCAGGAAGAGCGATTGAACTGCTCAGCACCGTTATATCAATCACCAGGATCTGATGACTTGGCCACGTGTTGGGCATATCAGCACACCGACTCCCGCATCGCGCATTGTTTGTGCGAGCGGGATGTGGATGGAAGAATAGGAGGGGTGGCCAAGCGATGACTTGATGAACAGGAATGAAGGCCATTACTTCGAAGTTGGTATTGGTTGGTGTCTCCCGGTTTCCAGTTTTGGGTCATAAGACGATGAACACGTTTGGTTGGACACTAGTTGTCGTGGCGAAGAGCAGATTTCATTGGCGTTTGGGTTGTGAGTTTCTTTGTCTTTCGTCTTCCCGCTTCTCTTCCCTCTTTGACAACAATCCCACACTTCACGGATAATATGGCACTTGGAATTATATTAGTTGCTCTTTAGTTTTGTATCTCGGTTTCTCATTGGTCTTTTGTATTGCGGTACAGTTAGCTGAAGGGTGTATTTCACCTTTTAGCTAATGTGTAATGATGATGATGAAGCTTATACTTTGCTGAACTAATCCAGTGACGTAGCGGTATTCGTGTCGATATATCGAGCGCTGCCCGATTGAGCATTATGAGGTGGGTGAATATCGGTCTTGAGCTGTGTCAATTCAATCCATTCGTCGTATGATGAAGTGTCACTAGTTTAGGAGTAACTAGTGCATCAATACTGTATGATTTCTAAAGCAAAGTAAGCTCATTTAATAACACCATTTACTAATCTTGAGAGAACTTAGAATAGTGTGTGTCTGGTGTCGATATTTAGAGAAGCAGCCATTATGAGTAAAGCATATAAGACGATTGCGATTGTCGCCACATCAGAGTCAGCATCGATCGTATTCCGAGTAGTTAAAGACATTGGTGCCTCTTAAGCAGTTTGCTATCACACTTATATTGCTGGGTAGTCCACACCTGCATGCATATTTTCTTAATAACATCCTGACTAATCATGATGACTTCCTTATTCACTTTGTTTACAGTTCGGATCGAGTGCATTCGAGGAGCCGAGCTCATTCGACTACGCAGCGTCGGAGGAGTAGAGATATGCCTAGAGAACAAATGTATATCTATCTTCCCTCCTTTAATAAACAACCTTTGCGCATCATTCGTCTTTAGCAGCTTCCTTTACATTTTCAGATGCTTTGCACACTTTACTTAACGGTAAAACACCCAAGAAATAAAGCACTCAAGCTATAAAAAGTGCAAGCCGAGTATGAGTATAGCCTAAAGCCATGGTGACACAAATAACGAAATCTGTGGAATAAAGCGGTGTAACATCTGGCTATGTTTCGAAAATGCGCTTATGTGCCCCAGGAAGGGTGAACCTTTGTAGCCGAGTCAGGGTAATACAAGTCGAAAACGTGGTTTATTCAACCAGACGTGAATTTGCAGTTACAGCGCGCAAATTGTTTAAAGACGATTATATACGAACAGTCAAATACACCATCGAGAAGACTAAAACCAATGGTTGAATTCGGCAAGTCGTATTTCGCTGAAAAAGTGCGCTAGAATAATGGCGGCTGGAGGATTATAGTCTCGTGGCTTTTTACTGCATTCTGGTCAAGAAAGTGGGGATATTGCTTTATGTGAGAGGTAACTGATATAGGTGAATGCCTTTGAAACAGATTGCAGAACTGATGTCACTAGACAATGTAACATCAACAAGTGTTGCTTTTCGTGTGCCGCAACTCCGAGATATGTGTTTCAATGGCGTGCGCTTTGCTCAGCAAACGCGGAGGAATCAAAGGAGACCAGACTCATGAGGTAGGACATATGCATTGGTAGACCATGGAATCAAACAGCCGGAGACAGAGATGGACAGTGACTAACATTGTGGACACTTCCTTCACAAGAAGCGACCGCCAGAAACCCTGTCGCATCCAGAATCCTAGGCACTTTAATGATCAGTGAATAATGAGTTATTACTGGTAAAAATACAGGTGCTT